TTGGTCAATGGCTGGACTTGTAATTGACAATTGACAAGCCTTAGGGCCTACTATTTTAAGACATTCATATCTAGGTTACAGTATATTGTCTATATATATACAGTATTAAGATATTTACTGGTATTAAAGCATGCAGTTTCTTCAGTGTTTATAATAAGAATATCTACTGGTAATAGCAAAGTCAACCGTTCGGGCATATTCACCAGCATCAAAAGCACGACTTTATCTTCTCTGCATGGATGAAAATATTCTTTCCTTTTCCCTACCTCTCGAATGATCGACAATGCCTTCTCATATGCGTGATAAGTCATATATAACATGGGTTTTGATTTTCCCTTTGGTAGTACTAGCTGTAGAATTTGTCGAGTGTTTAATACTGCGTCGATATTCGCACGGGAATTGCTTTAATCCTTCAATCTAAACGACAAATATAAGTCAAATATTAAGTCTAAGGCATCTCACTACATATTGTTTAATTGGACACCGTATAAAGGACTTACTTCTTCAACTGAACGCGATATTTCTTCAGTTAATTCATCCGCGTTGATTTGCAGCAGCCAAATAGTTTGATGAAAATCGCCTCCGTCGTTGTATCTGCGTCTCCAGCACCCAGAATTGGGTGAATTTTGCTTTCTGAATCGTATGCCGAACTTGTCGAAGCCATAACAAGAACAACAATGCCTCATTTTAAAATTTATAAGCACAATAGTATATTTCTGTAGTACTACGCTATAGTAATTTCTGAATTTGATGCACCCGAAATGTCACGTGACGTACCTTTCCAACATCTGAAATTAATTAGCTCGAAAGCCTTTGAAGTTTGCCGGCCTTCCAAACCCTGTCCTCTATTAACTATGTCTTAACCCTTCAGACTAAATTGAACAATGAATTAGCTGAAGTATATATTAAATGGTTATGTGTAAATAAGTTATCTCCTATTATTCAAAAATCAAATTTTGTACCATTTTTCCTAGGCAACGGAAAATAGAAACAAACTTGCAAATCGGTGTAAATCAATCAATTAAAACAAGAATTCTCAATTAAATACTTGGGTGCAACGTTATATTATATTCCGTCTATATTTTATGCCCGATAAATTTTAGCTAACTAACTTTATTTATACATGCGCGGATGGCTCTTTCTGTTGTAAGTGCCTTCTTCCAATATTGTTGCAACTACCCCAAATCGATAATGTTTGCTTATATAGTCTATAGTCGTATTTGCCTGATAGCCAATATACCAGCAGTATACGACTCGAGTTCCCGGATTACTGGTATAAGTATCAGGGATTTTGGATATATTATATTGGGCATTATTTATAGGCATAGAAATAAATGTTGAAGGTTTATGTTGGTGGAAATCTCGAGTGTAAACTTTCTACAGTTTTGTAAAAAAACCCGTGACATTAGAGCTTGACAAATTGGACTGTGGAGCTCTTTTGGTTAGAACACTGCACAAATCGCAGGGCATCTGTAGGCGCTCTGGCGGGAATCAAACTTGCGGGCTCAATTCCTGCCGGAGCGCCTATAGCTACCTGGTTAAGTATAAAATGATGCATGGGAAAATTTACACTCGAGATTTTAATGTGCAAAAACAATAAAATATCTGCATATTGCAACCATATGAGTAATAGACGCCTAGTGTCATAGATGGCAGCACCAATTCTGCCACCAATACCCATGTCAACCAGACTACATCACATCAATTTATATCATTCTTCATCAGTGTCCTGAGGCAGTTTTTCATAATCATCAACACGTTTTGAAAAGCGAATATACAGAAGTAAAATTACAAGAATGACTCCTGAATTCAGCGAGTAAATAAGTAATGTCGTCCGTATTCCCAAGGCGCTGAAAAGAACTCCCAAAAGAGCTGAGCCACTTTCAGTACCCAAAGCAAACACCGTCTCTTGCAGTCCTGGAAATACATAAATATATAAATCAAATATAGAAAGATAAGTTATTATATATAAGTAGAAATTAACCGACCGTTCGACCCGTAATTTTTGAGGGTGCGCAAGAAAGTGCATCATCATTAGCATAAAATGAGGTGGCGCGAGGGGTTCAGTATGGAATGCGTATGCACGACGTGATAATATCTGCATGACGTCATAATGATATGCAAGGCGAGTTTGGGCGAAGAGGCAATACTTTTGCTGAGCTTAACATTCTTAGGCGAGTCTGAGGGCGCATAATTTATCCGTTATAAATATGTCTTTTACTACTTTAAGGTGGACGAATCCGTTGGCCCTCACATGGCAAACTTTTTTTTGACGAAATTAATGCATAGCAGAAAATAGTCTTAGGCCCGTATTCTAAAAGCTCACTCATACTCATTGAGTGGAAGTTCAATCTGAGCTTCTCTCGAGTGTCATTGCTGTTTTTGAATAGCTGGAGGTTTTGTGTCGCACCTTACTATGTGACTACTCACCTTCCAGCTATTCAAAAACAGCATTGACACTCAAGAGAAGCTCAAATTGAACCTCCACTCATTGAGTGGGAGTGAACTTTTAGAATACAGGCGTTAGCCTACACATGTGGCTATTCGCTTGGAAAAGATTTCATAGAAATACGTTAGTAAAGCGTATCGTGGTAAACACGTTGTTTTATAGTGGTTTCCGAGCAGGGACAAAAATCGAGAATATAGGGTAATTAAACAATATTAGCTGTTGCTATGTGTTGGTAAGTTGAAATTAATTAATTAAGGGATTAGAGAGATTAAGTCCAACCAAAATTTGCATACGGGATATAAACTACATACCAGCTGGCTAAAGTCTGTTTTATACGTCGAATTGTGGTCGCGTCGAATGCAATTAAGACAATAGATAATGAGATGATAAACAATAGATAATGAGATGATAAACCTCATTAAGCTTCATTATCTATTGCTTGAATTGCATTCGACGCGATCCAATCTATCCTGCGCGATCCGTTAAGTTATGGGCTGTTCCGGTTCTAAGTTCTGTGGCCATGTTGATTTTCCTGCATCGTTTCCGGGTTCTGCTCCTGTTTCGTTAATTGCAATGCAGTAATTGCACAATGCGTTGTTTCAGAAATAATTGCACTGCTCTTAGCGAATCAGAATTGACTGCCGCGAAAATAAACCATGCACGGCTCATCCTCGTTCCCAGGGCCTCTCGTCAGCGCGCGTCTTCCCTAGGCACATGGAACCGGAAGTGCAAGAAAACTTGCAGTAGTTTCTAAAGCGCGTGCTCTTGAATTGGGCGCTTTAGCACCCGTAACAATTTTTACAGTGAAGTATTACGAAGAAGCAAAGTGTTTGTGTTGACATATGTTGATAGAATAATTTTGCCTAGCGAAAAACTGCTCAACTTCTACGAAATAGCAGTTCTCTGAGAAGCCAATCAGATCTCCCTCTTTAGTCGTCTAACCCATTCCCGTAATGTATTTTATAATTTGAAAATTTGATCTTCAAGGACTTTGGCGATTTTGCCTATTTTGATCCGTTTGTACCAGAGTAGTCCCTAGTCCTCTGTGCAAACCTTTCATTTCCGTGACGTCAGGAGCCGTCACCTCAATAATATGCAGAAACGCGTAATAAGGCGTACTAAGGCCTATACTAACTGTCTAGATTAGCCTCTCGATTATTACAGTTAGCAAGTACCTACTTCTCTGTAAAATACTACTTGATTATTAATTATTAATATTGTACAATATGGTTATATACTTATTGAGAACAATATAAAGTAGCAAAATATATCTACAAGAATCACACGACAAGCGCCAACAAAACACCGTCGTAATGCGCATGTCCCAGTCATTACTCATTTGTTCTTAGTCCTTACACTATCCTTCCTCAAAACTAAACTGTGTCCCACAGGTTAAATATTAATTTCATACGGAACAAGCCAGGCAGGTGGTCTACGTTGTCGTTGAGGTCTTCCTTCAGGCTCCAAAACCACAGGTTCGAGTTGTCGTTGTCGTATCTTGTGTTAGTCATCCGCACCTGGTGACAACATCGCCAACAGTGACAACATCGCTCCTGCTTTCAACTGTATCACAACATAACAACACGAGATAACATCACCATTATTGGCTACGAGTTGTTCAGAAATTTGTTCCGATTGTACAGGTTCCTCTTGCGATCCCGTGGTCTCGTAGAATCTCTTCAACTGATTGTGATGGACAATCATTCGCTTCAACCCAACCTTGTTACTTGTTAGAGCCCACGTACTTCATTCTGTACACATTTTCCCCTAGGAACGAGCATACCTCACGGATGACTTCAGCAGTTAGATTCTTCCTTTGGTCGTGGTGGAGTTGTTCGGGTGCTCCAGACCGAGGGATCCAAATTAACCATCAAAAACTTTCTTCGCAATTGTTTTCGCCTTCTGATTTCTTAATGGAAAGAATTCTAACCACTTTGTAAAGTGGTCAATCATCACTAAATAACGGTATCCACGCGAACTTTGTGCATACGTCGCCCGGGCGACATGTAGAAATTGATTGAAGTGGAGCGCTTTGGGAAGGTACTGGATTCCTTCTACGTTGACACACTTCGCACTTTCTGCACCAATCTTCAATTTCAGATAACATTTCTGGCCAGAAATACTTATTTTTGATCGTGTGAGTGGTCTTCTTGAATCCAAAATTCCCAAATCATGCATCATATGTAGTACTCTCGGAATCAGATAACGGGGAATGACTATTCTGGTGTTTTCATTACTGTCATAATGACACAACGTCACAACACCCCGTCATTTCGTGAAAATAAGTTGGGTAGTTCGTCCTCAAATGCCTTTAATTTCATGTCCATGGTGTTTATTCGTTGTAATTCTGATTGTAACATTGATTTCAGTTGGCTTATCTTCGTACGGGTTTCTCGTTGCTTACGAATGTACTATAAGTTCCATGGTGTTGGTTCTCGAGTTGCCACATTTCGAATTCTGCTTAAGGCATCCGTCACTGTATTATTCCGTCCTGGAATATGCTTAACCAAATACTGAAACTCACGGATTTTATCCACCCATCGCCAACGGCGACCACTATGCTCTTTCGTTCGAGTTAACAGCAATTTTAGACATTGGTGGTCCGTGTATAAATCAAACTGGTCCACCAACAGGTACGAACGACATGCCTTCAGTGCTTCAACAACTGCCAAACATTACTTCTATGTAGTGTAGTGTAGTGTAGTGTAGTGTAGTGTAGTGTAGTGTAGTGTAGTGTAGTGTAGTGTAGTGTAGTGTAGTGTAGTGTAGTGTAGTGTAGTGTAGTGTAGTGTAGTGTAGTGTAGTGTAGGGTAGTGTAGTGTAGTGTAGTGTAGTGGAGTGTAGTGTGGTGTAGTGTAGTGTAGTGTAGTGTAGTGTAGTGTAGTGTAGTGTAGTGTAGTGTAGTGTAGTGTAGTGCAGTGTAGTGTAGTGTAGTGTAGTGTAGTGTAGTGTAGTGTAGTGTAGTGTAGTGTAGTGTAGTGTAGTGTAGTGTAGTGTAGTGTAGTGTAGTGTAGTGTAGTGTAGTGTAGTGTAGTGTAGTGTAGTGTAGTGTAGTGTGGTGTAGTGTAGTGTAGTGTGGTGTAGTGTAGTGTAGTGTAGTGTAGTGTAGTGTAGTGTAGTGTAGTGTAGTGTAGTGTAGTGTAGTGTAGTGTAGTGTAGTGTAGTGTAGTGTAGTGTAGTGTAGTGTAGTGTAGTGTAGTGTAGTGTAGTGTAGTGTAGTGTGGTGTAGTGTAGTGTAGTGTAGTGTAGTGTAGTGTAGTGTAGTGTAGTGTAGTGTAGTGTAGTGTAGTGTAGTGTAGTGTAGTGTAGTGTAGTGTAGTGTAGTGTAGTGTAGTGTAGTGTAGTGTAGTGTAGTGTAGTGTAGTGTAGTGTTGTGCCATTGCTTCGTCTACCGCAACAGACCTTGGCTTATCCTTCAGAACTGATAAGTGTGCCTCGATCAGTCTGACTTGTTCAAACAATTCGCAGTCGTCTTTCGAACTTAATGAATTTATAGTTCAGAAGAAACCTATCCCTCCACTTGACCGTGAAAACTCTTACAAATACCTTGGTATTCCTATTGGCTTAATTCATGACCCTGACAACATCTCGGATTTGAATTGGTACAGGACCTGACTCGTGATTTGGAGAGCATCGAGAAATCACTGTTAGCTCCATGGCAAAAACTGGACATGATCCGTACCTTCCTTCAACCTTCCTTAACATTTGCTCTTCGTGCTGGTTTTCCCAAAAAAGATAATCTTTTGGTATACCGTTCCCACCTCGTGGCCACAGTTCGTAGAATATGTGCACTACCATCTCGTGCTTCTGCTTCCTACATCTTCGCTCATAAACGCGTTGGTGGTCTCGGTCTCCTGGATCCAACCCTTGAGGCTGATGTCCAGGCTATAATTCACGCAGTTAAAATACTCTCCTGTTCCGACCCGATTGTAAGCAACATTGCTAATGCTGAGATAAACCAAACTGTCCGACTCGCTAGCCGATCTAATCCAACCCCTGCTTTAAAATCAAAATACCTGTCCAGCCTCCCCGATGACCGTTTGACCAACTTACGTTATAACATTCAATCATTATGGACCCGAGTTCGTAAATCGACACGTAACCTTGGTGTTGAAATTCAATTTAATGACAATGGTCTCCCTATCCTTTCCACTGAGAACTCTGGTTCTGTTCTTGCCAAAGAAGCCAGTCGTTTCCTTCATTTTCATGTTCAAGATCGTTTTGCTTCCACCTTACTTGCTCTTCCTGATCAAGGAAAAGTGGGCCGTGCGCTTACTACCGACACCTTCGCCAATGGTTCTACCTGGCAATATAATGGCTTAAACATTCGTTTCAGAGATTGGCGTTTCATCCACCGAGCTCGACTTAACTGCCTCCCAGTAAATAATGTCAAGAGTCGTTGGTCTAATTCCTGTCCAAAATGTCGCCATTGTAACTCGGATGAGACTCTCCCTCATGTTTTGTGCCACTGCCTTCGTAACATGCCTAGTATCCTGCGGAGACACAATACCATAGTGGACCGCATCGTCAACGCCGTTCAAAGTGGAACTGTCACCACCGACCAACAAGTTCGCGCCGCTAATTCTCGTCTTCGCCCAGACATAATTGTAGAAGAAGATAACAAAGTGCTTATTATTGATGTATGTTGCCCCTTCGATAATAATGCTGAAGCCCTGCGTGACGCTGAACAACGGAAACTTAATAAATATGAAGGGCTGAAGCAATTCTTCGTTGGTCAAGGAAAGCAATGCGAGGTCTTTGGTTTTGTGATCGGTGCCCTTGGTTCCTGGCATCCAGCCAATGAAAACGTTTTACGACAACTTGGGATGTCCAAACGATATCGTTCTTTGTTTAGGAAATTGTGTTGCACTGACGCAATCCAAGGATCAACAAACATTTACCGGGAACATCTTGGAATAACAGAGGGTTCTGTGGATGCAGATAACTCTGAGTAGCATGCTCAATAGATATTTGTAATCAGTATCTAATTCACATTCTGTACATATAAAGGAACTTTACTTATATATTTGGAACATTATAGATTTATAGAACTTTTAAATTCTTGGGACAAAAATAACTCACTTATATGAACTGATCTTGATACTATGACCATTAATGGCACTAATTGTATATAATGACTAGGACTTAAGCAAGACCCATCACCTGTAAATTAATTTGTAATAAAGAATGAATAGTGTAGTGTAGTGTGGCCGAGAGTTTGCGACCGAGAGTTAGCCGTGTTATTTTGATCGTTTTAGCCCAAATTCTAAGCTATATTGGAGATTCGCATATCATTTTTAAGATAAGGTTTCATCCTTCTACTTGTGTTATTTTTGTTCCGGTTTGGTTTGAATCTATCGTGTTATTTTGGATTATATTATCACAGAATAGGAAGTTATACCAGAAGCGTAACTCGAGCAAGTATTTGTCCGCGTTTTTACAAGCGATTCGTCATCAATCACGCCATCCTGGCTAGTACAACCGGCACTTTGTACCTACCAAATCCTGATAAAAACTTCCGGCTGTACTAGCCAGGATGGCGTGGCCTGACGTGAGCGAGTTAAAATTTTCGTGGATAAGGGAAACGACTAGAGTTACGCTTCTGGTATAACTTCCTATTCTGTGATATTATTTACTAGCTGGCATCCCGTACGCTACATCAGGAAGATTTTGGTTTTGGCTTATTATCGCTTCTAATATTGGTTTCCTGTTCATAATTTTAACTATGTGACTGAACAACTGTATTATACGTGTTGTGTGCAAGTTTTCAAATTACTGGAGTTATCGTTGTTCAATTATTTTATACGAAGTGACTATATGACCGGCAGCCGGTCACGGTTTATCAAATACTAAATGGCCGGCAGTCTAGTGACTATAGTTGAATATAAAAACTTTTGTTTGCGTTAACTTTTACCGAGCTTGCCGTTAGCTCATACGGCAAGGGCGCTGCGTGCGGAAAGTTAAGCGCAGTCGGGGTCGCGATGTGTTTTGTCTGAGTTAGCATTGTTTTTTCTTAAAATTTTTTAAACTTTTTTTCCCGACTTTTCTAACTCTCAAAAGGTTAGGGTTAGGGGTTAGGGATTAGGGTTAGAAAAGGGTTTGGGGTTGGGGATAGGTTTATCTTATAAAAATTAAACTTTAACAATAGTCACTAGACTGCCGGCCATTTAGTATTTTATAAACCGTGACCGGCTGCCGGTCATATAGTCACTTCGTATTTTATATCCGCATATTATTTAAAGCGTCGCTAGTGTGTTTCCTTGGCAACGATTATTTTGTCTATCGATTTCTCACTGAATTTTAACTTTTTGGGAGTTTTTATTGTATGCCTCATATTCATACTGGTTTTCTCAATCTTCTGGTATAACTTTTGGTTTAAACCGGTGGAGTTTTCGATATATAATTGGACTTTCCGTGTTTGTAGCGTGTCGTCGTGTTGTTATTATTATTGTGTACCACAGTTTATATTTTCCGCCTTTAATGGAGTAATTCTTTCGACTTATTTCTGAAACTTCGCCAAGTTATAGCTATTCAACAGTGAAACATATGTACCAAGTTTCGTGTCTTGATCTTTAAAAGAATTCAAACTAGATTGGGATTTGTATTTTCCAACGGTCACTTTTCCACTTAATTAATTAATCTATTGTTGGAGAATCTCGGGGATTTCCCTTTATGGCCTCGAATACGTTGTTAATTGGATTTTGGACTATGTAAGCCCGTGATGTATTTTGACATTGTAATTATCGTTCAAGATTTTAGTTTATTAATGGTTCATATTTCTGTATCGTGCGTCGTCTCCTGTTGAAATCTTGTAATGGCATTTTACCCAATAGGCAATATGTTGCTTACTTTAACTTTGGTTCAGTAGTTTTAACGTCTTAATTACGTTATGTCTCATTCATCAGAAACTACTCGGTTATTCAACTGTCCTGACTGCAATTTTTCATCGTCGTCCCAAGGTGGCCTCTGTGGTCATCGCACTAAAATACACAGCACTAACAGCTCTTCTGTTAAATCGGTTTCGGTAGTGAGATCTTATCCCGAAGGAAAGAATTTTATTTGCTGTCTTTGTGGAAATACCATCGTCAATTTCCCTAATTTAAAACGTCATTTTAAAACAGTTCACCCTCACACTGTTCTCACGGCATCTGCTCATTGTCTAATTTGCAATAAAGATTTCCCAAATGCTCAAGGCGCAAGTGTTCACTGCCAACGTTCACATGGTGTTTCAAAAACAAAAACAAACATTCCACCTAGCCCGACCCCTATAATGTCTCGTATTGCCATTAATCCTAATGCTACATCAGACGTTTCAAGTGAATCTTCTGCTGGTGTTGGTCCTCGCCGTTCAACTAGACGTACTTGTAATAAACATTCTTCACCCGTTGACCAATCCATTTTGTCATCCTCCATCTCACAATCTCCATCATCAAGTTATCAACCAATCCCTGGTGGACCGACGTCGGACCCTGCCAACCAATCTAAACCACAGGAAAAGGTTCATGATTCGGACACCCTTAAAGACTCGCTCAATCAATCTGAACCCTACTCAAGCCCCTTATCTCGTTTCATTCATGAATGTGGCAACCTTCCTCCCTTATTCCCACAAAGATCTCCACAAACAGTTGGTCTGACTTCCTCGCCAGTTTCTACTACGGAAATTTCCTTATCTTCTGACGCTAATGACTCCTCCAGGTTCTCCCCTCCCGCATCGGGTCCTTCCCCGAGACTTTACCAGAAAGACCGTACTTCTTACAGACGGTATCAGAGACCGACGGCTGCGGATTTCTTTTCTCCTAGATCGTCACGACACCCTTCTAGTCCCTCCTCTCCAGTTGTTCAAACTGATGCAAATGACCTTCTTAACTCTGCGTTACCAAATGATGGTTCAACGGATGAAGTACAACCTCCAATTGATAGTGAGATCGATCCTTTATCATCCCCTAACCAACATGATAATAACACGCAATCCCAACCTTCGCAACCCACTCCATCTGATTCAAGTTTGAAAAGAGATGCTTTTAAGGACAAATGGACTTCTGCCTTCTCTAGTGACATCCCATGGTCAGAGTTCTGTTCACTTTGCGATGAATTTGTCGTGGAAACTCGATCTCTTGCTTTAGAAATTGCAGCAAATTCTTCGCCGACTTCCTACCGTCCTAAACCTCTTCCCCGTTGTAACCGTCCTTCTGGCCGTCGTCCTGCTTTTCGTCATCGACCACTGTTATCAAACCCCGCTGAGGCGCAACGCATTCAAACTTTATACCGTCATTCGAGGAAAAAAGCGGCAAGGAAGATCCTTTCGCCAAACTGTCCCCCCTATTCAGGATCAATTGAAAATGCCGAATCGTTTTTCAAGGACACTTTTCCCTTCGTAATTGTGACATAACGTCTCTTCAAGATAAACTAAATGATCTCACCACTCCAGCTGCAATTGATGACTCGTTATTTACACTCCAACAAACAAGGAAATTCGACGGAAACTTGTCTCTGCTGCTAATACCTCTCCGGGTCCTGATCGCGTTGAATATCGCCATCTAAAGCGAGTTGACCCATCGTGCTCTATCCTTTCTCTCCTATTCAGCCATTGTTTTAAGAAACGCGACGTTCCACCAGCCTGGAAATCGGCGATTACAGTGCTAATTTACAAGAAAGGTTCCACAGACGACCCTTCTAACTTCCGACCTATTGCTCTGATGTCATGTCTCTACAAGTTAGTCATGGGAGTTATTGCCAAACGATTAACGTCATGGGCTATTGATAATGATCTTTTATCTAAAGAACAGAAGAGTGCACGTCCTTCCGAAGGCTGTTATGAACACACATTTCTCCTTCAGTCCATCATAGGTGAAGCTAGACGCAGTCACAAAAACGTTTTTGTCGCTTGGCTGGATCTACGTAATGCTTTTGGAAGTATTTCACATTCTGCAATCACCACCATCCTTACGCACATTGGAGTGCCTTTGCCGCTGATAGAAATGATCAAAAACTCTTACGCTGGAGCCACTACTCAAATACGTACCCCCACTGGTCTTACTACTGATATACCGGTCCTATCCGGTGTCAAGCAAGGATGTCCGTTGTGCCCAATTATCTTTAACCTGACCATTGACCTAATCCTCCGAGCGATCAAACGATCTGCTTCCGACAATGGCCCTGCTAAAGTTCACGGCATTCCCTTCTCTGTGCTTGCCTATGCCGATGATCTTGTCATCATATCCAGAAAGAAAGACCGTCTCCAGAAGCTTTTAGATATTGCCTCGTCTACCGCAACAGACCTTGGCTTATCCTTCAGAGCTGATAAGTGTGCCTCGATCAGTCTGACTTGTTCAAACAATTCCCAGTCGTCTTTCGAACTTAATGAATTTATAGTTCAGAACAAACCTATCCCTCCACTTGACCGTGAAAACCCTTACAAATACCTTGGTGTTCCTATTGGCTTAATTCATGACCCTGACAACATCTCGGATCTGGTACAGGACCTTACTCGTGATTTGGAGAGCATCGAGAAATCACTGTTAGCTCCATGGCAAAAACTGGACATGATCCGTACCTTCCTTCAACCTTCCTTAACATTTGCTCTTCGTGCTGGTTTTCCCAAAAAAGATAATCTTTTGGTTTGCCGTTCCCACCTCGTGGCCACAGTTCGTAGAATATGTGCACTACCATCCCGTGCTTCTGCTTCCTACATCTTCGCTCACAAACGCGTTGGTGGTCTCGGTCTCCTGGATCCAACCCTTGAGGCTGATGTCCAGGCTATAATTCACGCAGTTAAAATACTCTCCTGTTCCGACCCGACTGTAAGCAACATTGCTAATGCTGAGATAAACCAAACTGTCCGACTCGCTAGCCGATCTAATCCAACCCCTGCTTTAAAATCAAAATACCTGTCCAGCCTCCCCGATGACCGTTTGACCAACTTACGTTATAACATTCAATCATTATGGACCCGAATTCGTAAATCGACACGTAACCTTGGTGTTGAAATTTAATTTAATGACAATGGTCTCCCTATCCTTTCCACTGAGAACTCTGGTTCTGTTCTTGCCAAAGAAGCCAGTCGTTTCCTTCATTTTCATGTTCAAGATCGTTTTGCTTCCACCTTAGTTGCTCTTCCTGATCAAGGAAAAGTGGGCCGTGCGCTTACTACCGACACCTTCGCCAATGGTTCTACCTGGCAATATAATGGCTTAAACATTCGTTTCAGAGATTGGCGTTTCATCCACCGAGCTCGACTTAACTGCCTCCCAGTAAATAATGTCAAGAGTCGTTGGTCTAATTCTTGTCCAAAATGTCGCCATTGTAACTCGGATGAGACTCTCCCTCATGTGTTGTGCCACTGCCTTCGTAACATGCCTAGTATCCTGCGGAGACACAATACCATAGTGCACCGCATCGTCAACGCCGTTCAAAGTGGAACTATCACCACCGACCAACAAGTTCGCGCCGCTAATTCTCGTCTTCGCCCTGACATAATAGTAGAAGAAGATAACAAAGTGCTAATTATTAATGTATGTTGCCCGTTCGATAATAATGCTGAAGCCCTACGTGATGCTGAACAACGGAAACTTAATAAATATGAAGGGTTGAAGCAATTCTTCGTTGGTCAAGGAAAGCAATGCGAGGTCTTTGGTTTTGTGATTGGTGCCCTTGGTTCCTGGCATCCAGCCAATGAAAACGTTTTACGACAACTTGGGATGTCCAAACGATATCGTTCTTTGTTTAGGAAATTGTGTTGCACTGACGCAATCCAAGTATCAACAAACATTTACCGGGAACATCTTGGAATAACAGAGGGTTCTGTGGATGCAGATAACTCTGAGTAGCATGCTCAATAGATATTTGTAATCAGTATCTAATTCACATTCTATACATATAAAGGAACTTTACTTATATATTTGGAACATTATAGATTTATAGAACTTTTAAATTCTTAGGACGAAGATAACTCACTTATATGAACTGATCTTGATACTATGACCATTAATGGCACTAATTGTATATATTGACTAGGACTTAAGTGTGTAGTGTAGTGTAGTGTAGTGTAGTGTAGTGTAGTGTAGTGTAGTGTAGTGTAGTGTAGTGTAGTGTAGTGTAGTGTAGTGTAGTGTAGTGTAGTGTAGTGTAGTGTAGTGTAGCGTAGCGTAGCGTAGCAAAAAACCAAGACTATTCCATGCCTGAATCTGTTGCACACATTATTTTATCAAATTTTTGAAGCTACTTAAAGATTCTGTTTGCTTTGCCTGCGTAGGTAAACTATTCCATAGAACACACCCGCTATATCCAAAACTCTTATTTAAATATTCAGTACGTGGTTTAGGAACTGAAAGATTTATATCAGCATTTCTGAGATTATAATTTGTACAGTAAGATTTATGTCCCTTGTTATAAATTTATCCTTTAAAGTGCATATGACATTAATACCATTTTTTCACCAAAAATCAGCAAAAATTAGACAAGTCGAATGATATATATCATTCCTTGATGGAATAAATACTTTCAGAGATAATTTAGATCAAACATGCAAAAAAATAGGGGTTTTCAAGACATGGCCGGGAGAAAAGAGGCTGAGTACGAATCAGGTTTGTGATGTCACACCGGGGACGGAAGTGAATCGACTCGTGTTGTATTACAATAAATATCTATTGTGTGCAATGAAAATGTGTATACTTTGCGCTTCGAAATGCCTGTAGATATGTTGTATACGATTGTTCTAACACAACAGATGCTGCAAATCAAATAGCTGTACATCCAATACCATATTATGGGGATTTTCGGCTGCAGTCATTAAGGAGAAGGAAACATTGGATA